AGCGTAGATCCTCCAAATTTATGAAGATTTGGTAGGCTCCGAAGAATAGGTGACTTTTCCCTCCAAAATTGTTGAACAAATTTCCTGGCCCCTTCATTGGTCAGAAAATATATTCTTATCTCTGATAAGAATCAGGGTCCTGGTAGCCGGTTTTGAAGGTAATTAAAGCAGGTTGGAGTGAACAAGTTGTGAGGTTTTCCCCAGACTTTATGGCACCATGGAAAGAATAATGGTGGTGGGTTTCCTTTTTATATTTTCCAGCTCTCTCTTTAGTCAGAAAATATATTCTTATCTCTGATAAGAATCAAGGCTTTTGAAAGTAAAAAGTGGTTGGAGTGAGGATAGAAAAAATAGCGAGAATGTGAACTTGTAAAATATTGTTTTCAAATTAAATTCCAAAACTAGATTGAACGTCAAAAAGAATAGAAAGAGAACGGATTAATTAAACGGTTCACTGGCCTCTATTTTAGTTGTGAATTTTTTTTTATCTTCACTTTATACATTGTTTCAAGACCGTTTCTGTCAAGTATGCTTTTATCTCCGCAAACACAAGGCTAATTTTTGTTGCTGTGATGTGAGCGAATACCCACTTTCACCAACGTGCATAAGAAAAACAAGCCTCTTCACCGACAACCTCAACATTGTGTAAGGAAACTGAGGCATTTCAAAGTTAAAGTTCATGATAAGCTGTCAATTGTCAGATCATCTTAAAGTTGACGAGCTTCTTGAGATAACTAGCTAATACCTGTATTAGGTGTTAAATTTATATGATCACATAAAATATCTAAAATTAGGTCTCTCTAAAATCTGCTTCAAGGGTATAATTGACAAAAGAAGTAATATTAGTTGTTTCCTTGTAAGGAAGTATTCGGCATACATTGACCTAGCAGCTAGTACTAAAGTCGGTTGAAATTCATAAAATCTTTCTCTTAAAACAATTTTTCAGGGAAATAAGTTTCTTAACTCCAGTAGCGATTGTCGGGATGCTTCTACTCGGGTTTTTGCTAAATGTCAAAATTCAGAGTGTCGGGATTCGATACAATAACATTGTGCGAATCTATCACGCACGAACATACATACATACATACATACATACATACATACATACATACAAAAATGCAAATCACATACAACGCCAAGCATTCATTGGTTAATTAATCACTACTGCGTTATTATAGACAATTTACAAATCGCAGCAATGCGACAATTTTGTAATCGATCTATTTTTATGTAGTCAGTTTAGTGCACTTTTGGGAGAAACGGATCGCAGAAGCTTTCTTAAGTCTCCCCAAAGCTCGCTTGCTGATTGGTAGATGCCAGCCAATCAGATCGTCTGCACGTGAAGAATATTTCTTCCCGCGCAACGATCTGGAGCCTACAGTCACTTATTTAAGCAAGAATTTTCTAACCCTTTTTCAGTAAGAATCCAACTGCCAAACGAATCCACGACAGTTAAAACCATGCGCCAACTTCCTCACTCACACACATCACTCACATGCTGAACATACCTTGTATACACTCACATAATCTTTTTTTACACAGTAAAAGCTTTCAAGAACAAACATTACAGGAGACTCTCATGAACATTCTTCCAGTGAACTTTGGAACACTAAAATAACAGTTAAAGAGAGACAACTCTTGTTTTATTCAACCGTTTCTTACTTAAATGCATGCTTTCTTTCACATCGTTGTTTGATATTGTACATCTTGTTAAATACATATTTTATGTGTAACAATGTATTTTGGTTATCCTTTTCTGTGTCAGCCCTCTTTCCTAATCTAAAGTTAAATTAATGTGGTGAAGTCCGTTACAACATTGGTTAATTTTTAACCAATCACATATTTTTAATGTAAGATCAAGTTTTCCCGCGGTTCCGTGGGAGCCTACCTTTTTTCCTTAAAAGGGGCGACTTTTCGCAAGTCGCCAGTAAGATCCAGTAAATTCCAGCCGTCAACACAAATCCACGATCTTGCTCAACGCACACACAGACGCAGAATTTCGTAACTACAAACTTACATTTTCTCTCTGTGACTTTTGCCAAGTACAATTTACCAGAACTTTGTTGATTCAAACCAGTTTATTCACAACAATTGTATTCTTCGTGTTATTCATTCTGAACATGCAAACTTTTCTCTAATAATTGTTTCAGAACATTTATCTCACAAGAGAACTTTCTTCAAACAATGAATTACAAATCAATCTACAGTTGAAGGGGAATAACTTCTTTCTCTTTAATCTACTTTGTGAATAACAAATTATTTCATGCTTGTTGTATTTTATTTCGATATATATCTGTTGGTTAACAAATTGGAGTTGTTGTTATCATTACTTGAATCTTGTACGTTGGAAGTTTTGTTAATATAAACGTGGTGATGCCACAACTGAATCCCGCACGCAGTACCCTCTACAAATGGTGATGCTACAGACCCAAAGAGTGTGAGTTCAATACCCTGTTAAGGCAGTGGAGTGCTTTCAGGGGGAAATTAACAGGAGATAACTGATAACTGACATCTATTAAAACATGGCACGTGGAACTAGAACAGTCTACCCCAGTGAACTAAATAAAGGGTTCAGTTCGACATTCTAACCACTTGAAGAAGGCCGGAGCGTACAAAGGCTGAAACGTTGTAAGAAATGTGGCGACAAAGATGAGAACAATAATGTAAATAATGCTTTTGTTTGAAGTAATGTGGAATGTCAGCTTCTTGATTATGTCATCATTTTTTCTTCAAGCTGCATGTGATATCCATTTTAGTTGTTACTGCTGTTGAAAGTCCCCAAGAGGTGTGATTTCTGTTATTTGGTACAGTTCTTTGCTTGTGATTATGTAAACCTAGTCCACAATATTTGAAGACCCATTTTTGAGCATTGATCTGAGAAAGCGGTTCTATTCAGCTGGCAGGAAACCCAAAACGAAGTTGCAACAATGGATATGAATGGTCTAGTCTTGATCTAACGTCGATTCAAAGCCGAACTCTTTAGAGAGAACTATCTCATGTTAGTGCACAATCTGTCGTAGGCAGTGATTTTATTTACCAGATCTCCACTAAGGTAGGATGTGGCACAAAGTCTTTTTATGTGAGAAGCCCATAAGCGTACATATATATTTTTTTAAAATCAATTCACCCTCAACAAGGCGATAAAGTTGTGATGATGATCATCATCACACACATACATACCTACACAAATTCAAATTTCAATAACAATCATTCTTTGGATAGAAATCAACGCGGCTATCTTATGCGACAATTTTAAAATCGCTATATTTTCGTATAGTAGATTTTGTGCACTTTTGGAAGAATCGGATCACAAGAGCCTTCTTAGCTTAGTAAATATTTTTCAGGAAATATCAGCTTCTAATTGGTCAATAAACACACAAGTGGGCGTTGCAATCCACCCACGCACAATATATTTTTCCAGCGCGTGACTAAGTCAAGTTTCCCGCCAAAGCGCTTTGATCATGTCACATGATTACATATTGTATAAAAACAAACACGAGTTTGCTTCTTCCTCTTTTTTCTTTCAGGCGTCGTGCCGAATCCCACCACGAGTGGAGGTGAGGTAAATCTCTCTTTCTTCTCTATTCTTGCTGCAAAATGTAGTCCCAGAGAATTATCGTCTTGACCAGACGTTAAAGAGCATTACCAACAAACACGTACGTACGAACATTCACCAAAACACATATATGTTAACACACAAACACAATGTTAACTGTCTATGTGCTTTCTAAATGTTTTGTTTAATACATATATTTGTTTATATATATCGGTCTTGTTTGCTTGTCCTTTCTTCACATCAGTTTGGCTTCTTAAACAAAATTAAATAAATGTGGTGGAAGTCCGCCACAAGGTCACTAAGCTGCAAGGAGCTACACTGGGAGTTGAAAAAAAATAAGAAAAACTTTAGATGGAACAGGAAACCCAATCCTCTAAACAGGAAACAAGGGATAAATCTCTATGACTATTCAAAAGACCCGGGAAGAGTGTGAAATGAAAACCCAATCCTTAACATGAAACAGGGGATAAACCTATATTTCTATTAAAAAACAAAAACGGGGAGGAGTGTGAATTGGAAACCAACCCTAATCAGGAAACAAGGGACAAACCTCTACTCCTATTCAAAAGATCGGGGAAGGGTGTGAACCAGACAAAAATTGACCAGTCCCTGTGACCAGTTATACTAACTGTGTACACCACCAACCCCACCTCTCTTAGTGCAATGAGGAATGTGTTACCTTAGGATTGGAATCCTCGAGACGAGGCGCTTTCTCCTTTTCAAAATGAGAAAAATACTACGCATTAATAATCCCGGTCGTAGGCGGAGATAGCGATTAAAATATAAAAATAGTTTAAATAATGGCTAATGGTGACATCATTGTTTCCAGTAGCAACACCAGTAGTAAAACAAAGCAATTAATTTACTATTTTTGGAATTTGACTTATTGTCAAGTTGAATGGAGCACGACATTTGTATAGAAAAAAGGATAAGTTAATTATTATCCGCGGTTTCGGACTTAGGTTTATCCCCTGCGGATAAGGCTGAAGAAAAAAAAATTCTTTAGAAAAGATTTTTTTGAAGATTGTTGATAAAATATAAAAATTCCTTAAGGATTTATTAGGCTGATATTAAAAGTTATTAGGAATAAATTCTGTTGTTAGGAGCTCCATAAATGTGGCCTTGTGTCAGAGTTGTCCAGGTATATTATCTATTTTAGACAGAAATTCATAACGTAGGTAATAGCCTGTATGTTTTTTTTATGTAGTGGGTGAGATACAAAGGGGAGATAACTGAGTGGCGCATCACATGATGGGTTATCACGGACGTGCGGATGCGTCGTACATGCAAGAAGACGGGATAAATAAATAATAATAATAATAATATTTCCGACAGCTGTGAAATAAATCCCTTCTTTTCTTGTGTAAACATAAGGAAAAAGGTTTCTTTTTTTCACTGCAATTTCGGATTATTGACAACGATTCGGACTACTTGAAAAAAAGCTATGATTTCAGTCGTTGAAATCCCGAAGTAAGTTTTTTTTTTTTTTTTTGGAAAAAAAAATTTTTTTTTCTTTTTTTACACTCAGTTTTTTTTTTTTTAGATTTGTAAAAGTTCTAATTAATATATAACTAGACTTTTAAATTGGACTTAAAAAAAATAAAACATTACCTGGCATATCGGTTTATTTTTCTTATGAAAATGACGTTACGTCAAAGTTTAAAAAATTAATGAAGCGATGACCTTTTTATCTTAAATTTAAAAAAAAAATGTCTATTTCTTTTGATAAAAAAACGTTTTAGTTTTTGTTTCCTTTTCATTCGTTTATTTACTAAATAAATGGTTGTTTCATAATTGCTTGTACTTATCTTTACCGTGCCTTATATTGCAATTCTTCTGACGCGTTATTTAATTATAAAACAAAACTCCTGAAGACTTCCTTTTCAAAATCATTCTCTATTTATTTATGGCAACCACAAATAGAGAAATACTTTCATTTTTAAAATTTCATACATTTATCACGGTTATGATTAATAAAAAAAAATTATTCTTTCCCCAAGTTTAATTGGATTTCTTGTAACATCACTAGAATTCGTCGTAAATTTAAAACACATAATAATTCATGTTTTCCTGTTTATTTTCTTTTTCTTTGACCGAAACAAAAAATCCTGTTAAAAATGTTTAATAAATGACATTCACAAGATAAAGTCTATTATAGAAAAAAAAAATTCATAGCAACGGTTAAGTCACTTTGAAATTTAAACATTTTTTTTTAAACATCCGTTTTGTTACCTCCAAGAGCTCAACATTTTAATTACTTAACTTAATAATAGTAACTTACATTAGTTAATTATTTACATTAATTAATTACTTACATTACTCAGTAACTTAGTATACATATAAAATCTCTTCTAAAGATTTATCAAGCTTTTTATGAATGAAAATGAAATTAAACATCTGTCCGCATGTCTGTTTAATTTTTTCATAATTAATTTTGTGTTTGTAAATTGAATATTTTAATATTTAAAAGCACATTTTATTTAACATTATGAAATAAATATTTAATTTAATTAAATAAAAGATTTAATTTACAAATTACATTTTATTTAAAAATAATTAATAAATATTTTATTTTTATTTCACAAAATATTTAATTTAAAACACATTTTATTTATTTAAAATTAATTGTGATAAATAAATTTAAACACAGCCATAGGGACTGATCATGTTTAATTTCATTTTCATTCATAAAAAAACCCCCAAAAAACAAACTTGATATTAGTTTTTATTTAATTATGCTTGACTTTTTCTGTAATTACAAATTTATAATCTTACTAAATTCATAAAAATTCAACTAATGACAGAATGAAAAAAATTCTGTGTGACGCCTTTTCCGTCCTTTAGGACTTCAAAACCGACAAAAAAAAAAAAAAGACATCACACAAAAAAATTTTACCACTTTGTCATTAATTTGTTGCCTATTGTTTTTATTTAACAATATTCTTCCATAGAAATTTAATGTGTTAAAAAAATTAAATTTTAACTAAAATATTTATAAATGGTCAGAAATGTAAAAATAAAAAAATAAATGATTTTTTTTATGCAGACTTTTTGTTATTAAAAGTCACTTTTTTTTTATATAATCAATCACCTCCGACAGTGGTTCCCAACCGATTTGGGGCCATGCCCCACTTTGGTATTTCTACCCCTCCCCATAATAATTCTTACATTTTATGCCAATTATGTCCGTACATACACACAAAAATATTTTTATGTAGGCACAATAATACATCGTAAACATACATTGAACACTCTCACAAGAAAACAATTCAATTCACTGTTTAATAACCCATTATTCTCGAATTGCCCCCTTATTCTGTTAAACCGAAGGGTGCGCATCCTATGCATGCCCCACCATAAATGTCCACGTTGGGAATCATTGACCTAGGGTCAAGAAGAAGGAAAAAAGACTTGTACTTTTTCTTTCTGTTTCTAATTAATCCTTATTCAACAAAAAGATTATGAAATTGAAATATTACCCTAACTTATGTTTAAATTCTTTACTTACTATCTTTTAGTCTTTTAAAGAATAACATTTATTCCTATTCCTGCAGAAAGAAAAATATTCAATTAATTTATTAATAGGAATAAAAATAATTCTGAGTATGTAGATTTTTCTACATTTTTAAAAAGGAAAAAAGTCTCATTAATGTCTCTTGTGTTATTTATTTTGTAAATATTTTTTGTCACTTTTTTGTGTAATTAAATTGAAAAAAACACGATTTTTTAACTTAAAATAAAAACCTAATTTTTTATGTAACAAAAAAGTTAAAAAAAAAACCAAACATTTTTAAAATTTGCAATAATACTTTTTAATTTTAATTGCAATGATGATGATTGTTTTTATTATTAACAACTGTTATTTATAATAATAGGCTAAGTTAAGTAAGTGTACATTGGCAGAGAAGGCCACAAGTCTGGTGGCGCCGGGTGAAGATCCAGACTAGCTCGTTAACCATCACTGTTATTACACTACCCCACTTCATCGTCCATTAACTAATGAGTGATCGAAAGTTGCTAAAAAATTATAACTGTAACTATTTGGTAAAATAAAATTCTACTTCACATACGCTCTGCTTTAAAATTTATTGAACACTTTTTTTTCCTTTCCCTAATTATTATTTTATTATTATTTTTTATTATCATCATCGTCCTGGCTTTCATTTTTTTTTATTTTTAACTAACATCTTTATTTAGTACTTCTGCGGAAAAAAATGTTAGATAGAGTAACAGGTGTCTGTTTTTGTCTTTTATTTCTTCTTCTTTTAAGAAGTAGTCTACAACACACATTCGTTGCGAAAATGTTTTTTTTTTTATTTATCACAGATCTTATTTTTATTTATTTAATTTTAGTGACTTAGATTTTTATTTTATTTCATAGGATGATGTCGTCTTTCTCTCTCTCGATTTTTGGATGATAGAATAATCTGGAACAAAGGTTAAGAAGATGAAATTCAATATTGTAGATTTTTAAAATTTATGTGTTGTTGAAATTTTCGTATTTTGTATGTCGTTAAAAACGTTAATTTTATTTTTCTTACCATTTTTTTTTTTTTTTAAGTAAAAAAAAAAAAAAAAAAACTTTTTTTTTTTTTTATGTTTACCTCACTTACTCTCAGACATTCTTTTTAAATAACTAAAAATCCCAGGAAACGCATTTTCAAATTTATTCAGTTTATTTATCACGAATATTTTTTGTTTTAAGTTACAAATTAAATTACATATTTAACCGTAGGCTAATTTTAGAAAACCGCTTGATTAATAATAAAAATGAAAAAAAAAAATCAAAACTTTCAAGAGGAAAAGTCATGAAAAAAAAAAAAAATTAAAATTAGGGGTGACAAGACTTTCGGATCACACAGTACATTTCCTTTTTTTTTTCTTTTCTTTTTGTTGGAATCATTATTTTTAATTCGAAATAAAAGATAGTTCCAGTAAAACAGGTAATAAATTCATTAAATTAAAAATATTACTTGAGTTTACTTTTTAAAACAACATTTTTTTTTAAATCAAAATATTAATTAATTTTATTATTACTTTCGACGCACCTTTTAAAAATTTTATTACCTCTAAAAATTAAAATATCCTTAAAAAAATAAGTTTATAACCGGACGTCGTGAATTTAAAATCTAAAACTTGTATAAAACATACAATACATTCTCCTCCGAAAATCTATGATCCTGATAAAGCAAAATTCAATTTGTAGTTACCCACTGCCCTACTCAGCAAGATGTGGCACAAGGCCGAGTTCTAACATGGGTTTATCCGGTAAAATTTCCCTATATAGAGCACGTAAAAACGGAGTCAGTTTCCCGAGACGAGACTCTGCCCTTCGGCATAGCCTCGTCTGGGGGATACCCTCTGAATTGTGCCAAAGTAATCATTCCACAATAATATTAAAGATTATGACCGTTCCACTCGAAATATAGAAAAAACTAAACTAAAAACTATAAAACCAAAGTTAGACAGTGTTACTGTTACACAAACCAGAAAGTATTAATTTCTCTGTGTGTGTGTATTTGAATGAAAATATTTTGCTTAACATATAAACTATTTGTGACTTCCGTTAGTACGTCTGTCACACCCTCTCTAAAATAGCCATGCATTGACTGAATCGAAACCAAATTTGGGGGAAAAGTTCAAGCTAAGGGATACAGAGTACAGTTGGTTTTACTTGGGTGCATAGGTAAAATTTTCATTGTTTTTTTTTTTTTTTTTTTTTTTCCAAGTTTTATTATTTAACATACAAAATACTCCCACTATTTTAAAAACAATCTAATGATTAAAACAACAAATACTTATTTAATAAAAATGCAATAATGTTTTTTTGCATATCTTTAAGTTTTTGTATTTCATCAATTGGTTTGCAAAATTGAACAAAATGTAGAGTTTGTAAATCTCTACAAAAAATGTTAGTGATAACTTCAACAATACTACTGTGAGGATTTCACCATGTGTGAGCATGTTGCCAAAAAAAATTCTACTACTTTAAAATGGCAATATTAAGATATTATTCCCTTTCATCTAAGATTGGTAAAGATGCTGGAAAAATGTTTAACCCAAAACAATTGCTCCAAAAAGGTACCTGACTCCCTCCTGCTGAATATATCTGGGCCGGAACTGTCCAATCCTTACAGTCCAGCCTTGACAAGAGTTCAAAATAATTTATGTGGCACGGTTGAGTAGAGGAGGCACGGTGGAGTAATGGATAGCGGCTTGGATTGAGGAATCGGAGAGCCGAGTTTGAATTCCAATCGAATCCATTACATTCACTTACGTGCTAATACCCTTGGGAAAGGTGTGAATCCTCTTCTTCTCCCTCCAGCTATGGGTAAATAGTAGGACAGACTGGGTTCTATAGCCTTGGATGGCAACTGGTGTAGGAGAAGGAAAACTCTGAATTCAAAACCTGTGAAGGGCCATTTCGGGACCTTGTGGCACGTGGTGCACCAGGTCTCTGTAATTGGCCA